CGATATCTGTTTGGACTATTCGATATACCCATAATGTAATTCTCGAAATAAGTTTTGAGATGACATAAGCAATTTGTAGATTCGATTAGCGTACGATCGTCGGAGAATTTTTAAAATTAGCATATTATCGAAATTCAAAATTATTGTGAGTTTGCCCATATTTGGTAGAGATTAAAATCAAATTTTTAGTAAATTTTGATAAAAGTTAAACAATTATTGATTTCATGAAATATGTTATTAAAATTAATTGTTAACTTTGATTTAAATTAAAATTTCAATTTCAATTAATACCAAACGTGACTTAAAAAAAAAAAATTTCTCAAAAGTTGGGATAACGTGCCCCCCGGGTCCGCCAGTGGTTACCTTTCTAGGCCTTTTTGTCTAAGATCAAGCTATCTGTTCTTACCAGTTTAATTTTTGATACGTGGACTATTGGTCCAAAGGGTAGCTTGCTGCTTGGTTCTTTAAGGGTTGCCAATGTGTTGCACTACTGCACGGTCCTGGTGCACCCACCAGGTCTAGTCCAATGATTTATACAACTAACAAGAATAAAGATTTTATAAAATTGGGGCATAGGTTATTAAAGAGTAGAAAAGGGAAGTTTATAAATCCGATCTTTTCTAATCAATAAATTATTTGTAATTTATGAATTTTTGACTGATTTTAATTTTTTTATTATGCCTTGTTGATCTATGCAATAAATGGGAAAAATTTATCTTCAAATCTTAGTACACGATTGAAATAAATGCCTTCCCTTCAAACCATAGATTGTTGTTTGCGGACAAAAGGGAATACTCCATCGTTGTTCTTATCATTTAACATCACTTCACATGAAAATCGTGCTCACGTTATATGAATAGTGTTGCTGTATAAGAAAATATGTTAAAAGAAAATGAAAAATCAATAAATATTACTTGCGAAAAGCAAAATGAAGAAACAAAATAAACAATATTATTGGAGGATATAAGAAATTTTACTCTCTATAAGATGTCATTTATAAAATAGTCTTTCAAATATGTTCTTATAAACTTAGCAAAACATGCCATATATGTCCCTTTTTTACATTCCCACACATATTTTTTACACAATACATAAAATAAATTATTACAAACTTTAAAAAAATTAATAACAATAAAAGTTTAACATAGAAAACTAAGGAGTGACTGTTAGGTAAAAGAGGGGTGATGAGCTGATTATTTTGCCTGACTTTGAAAGATGAAATTAGCCAGTAAAAAATTCCTGCTGAGAAGAAGCTAAAGAACCAAGCATTATTGTATATAATGGCACAATTTAATTATTTTCAATATTCGTTTGGATTATTCGATGTGTCTACGATATAGTTTTCAGAACGAGCTTTAAGGGGACATAGGCTATTTGTGGATTTGGTCAGCGTGCAATCGTCAACGAATTTT